TTGACAGAGAGGAGAAGGTAGAAATGACTCAGCCTGGAACTGAAAATATGGATGGAGGACAACACAGCTGCTTCAGTTTTAATGTTACAACTAATCATGGATCCCTTTAAGAAACGCAGAAAATCTGGTTGATGTTGAGAATTAGTTCAGTATTTTTGTGACTCAAACATTGAACAGATGTCTATTAGTTATTTTACAGTTAAAATATCTTTATCAAATAGTTTTAATGTTACAACTAATCGTGGATCCCTTTTAAAATGTTTAAAATCAATCTTTCAGAGGAACACATTGTTAGTGGGATGATTATAAGTTGTCTCAAATATTAAAATAATTGGTAAAAGCTAGTTCTGTGTTAAAATAAATACATGTGGGTGAAGTTGTCGCTAACATTTTTACATTTGTATTGTATTTGTTGTGAACTTGGTCTTAAATCTTATTTCATGAGGCATTCAAGTCTTTAAGTGAACTTTCCTTGAGCTGTAGGAACCCTGTAAAGTGGTCTTCTGTGGTCCAAAAGCATCTTATCACCTCCACTAAGGAGGTTATGTTTTCAGTATCATTGGTTTGTCTTTCTGTGCTCAAGATCTCTCAGTTCTGAATATATTTTCAGGAAATGTTGAGGTTGTCACAAAGAACAATTACATTTTGGTGATAATCTGACATTTGACAGAGCCACAGCTTGTTGTGGTCCGGCACAGACGGAAACTGAAGGCAGGGGACAGAGGCTGCTGTTTTAGTGATGTCATACTGTGACATACCTGCCTCTAGCAGAACTTTAATCCACCAATCACATCTCAGCAGCTGAATGCTCATTTCCATAACTTAGGGTCATGGCAGAGGTGTTCAAAGTGAAACATGGTCTTCTTTCATTATTCAAGAACCACTATTCTTTAAAACAGTTTTTTACTGACATCACCTGTTAAATTTTAATGATTTATCTTGAACAACCCAACATAAGAACCTGATAAAATTATGATTTGAAGATTTATTAAGTTGTCTTTTTGCTTCCTCAGCTGGCCGATGATCCCAATGTGGTCATTGCCAAGATGGACGCTACAGCCAATGATGTGCCATCTCAATATGAAGTCAGCGGGTAAGAGGCTCACTAAAGTCATACATTTATGCTTCATAGATTGTAAAATAAGATTTCGCACATTTGGCTTTCTAACAAAAGTTAAGCTGTAATCTTTCTGTGCTTCGGTTAAAGTGTTTTTTGTTTTGGTGACATTTCTTTGTTTTAGTTTCCCTACAATCTACTTTTCCCCTGCTGGACACAAGTTGAACCCAAAGAAATATGAGGTGAGTTTTAGTTCCTGTAGTTTCCTGCAAACTGAATTCCCTCCTGCGCTCTGGTTCTCATGTCTCTGTGCTGGCATTGCAGGGAGGACGCGAGGTCAACGACTTCATCTCCTACCTGAAGAAAGAGGCCACCAACCCGTTGGTAGTGCAGAAAAAGAAGAAGAAGGATGGCGACAAATCAGAGCTATAAAAGCTCCGAACAGGAACTCAGCATCCACCCCATCACAACAGGAGGAGGGTTGGGGAAGATAAAGAACTAAATTATATTCCACTCTTAGTGAACAAATGCTCTGAAGCCGAAGTCCAACAGACTTCATCCTTTAGGTCCTCCGCTGCTCTGGATTACTGTGGAAGGTGGTGGCAAGGGTCTGCCCGATTGTTATTTTTTCAAACAGTAAAATTTTTAGGGACGAGGGACCGCTTTTGAATAATTAAGATTTGTATTTCCTCTGGTCTGTCTACTACACATCATGCTGATGCACTTTGGTTTGACACCAGTTTCCAGTCATCTGTTGTTTTGGTTTTTGTCGTCATCACAGGGGCTAACTACTTTTTTTTTTCTTGTTTGTAACTGGTCTTTGTTTTTGTACATTTGGAAGGACTATGAAATAAAAAAGGCCCACAAAACCAAAATGACGTGTTAATCTTGTTTCTGAAGTTTTATTCTGCCATGGTGAACTAGCAGTCTTTTGCTGGCTGTCTTGTCTGTCTTTTAAATAATAGCTTTTACGGTCTGCGATGGGAATCAGTCTCAGCTATCAACAAATTTTAGCTCAATCTGTTTAAAAATTATTATTTTAGACCTCTTGTTAGTGTCATCAGTGGTGGTCATCCTTGATCTGAAAGAGTCTAAAGGTTTTTCAGCTGTAGATGTACATCCTAAGAATATTTGAGCTTCATGACTTTTTTTCCCTTGCAGATGAATGAGTAATAATGGATTACACCCAATGTCTGCAACATTTTGTGTTATTTGATGGAAATATACTCCAATAATTTGTAGGTCTAATGGCAGTTTTGCCAAACGCTTTGAATCCAACTTTTTAAACTTGTAGTTTAAACAAAACTATAAAATGGAATAAAAATAAGGACATTTGTATTTGGTAGATTATTTCTTTATTGTAATAATGCTTCTTGGAAATAAATTTAAACTGATGGAAAATCTGTTAATTTCCCTTTTTAATGGTGCCACATTTGTAAGAAATATGGATTTGTGGGATAAGCTGTAGAACTGAGTATGGCTTGCTCACATTTTTCAAAAGGCTTTTATTATTATTGTTAGTTTCTGCTGCCCATCAGGTGCATGGTGTAAGATTTATTGCCGAGAAGCATTGTTACAACTAAGAAATCTACCAAACACATTTCATTTCGTTTTGTGGTATGTGTATGTCTAACATTAAAATAATAAGCCATTTTAGTAGATATTTTTGATTAATAATGATTGTATTTGTCATAAAATTTTTCTGAATTTTTTGTCTCTGAAAATGTTCAAAAAGTTGCAGTTTGGATCAACATGAAAAGGCCCACAAGACAAAACAATTTATGGTACTTTATTACTTTTTTAATTCTAAAATTATATAATTGTAATTTAGTATTTCTGTAAATGTAAAATTTTAATTATTTGAGGTTTTATGAAAATATAATGATGTGTTCTGCCTGTGTTAATAAGTGGATATTTGGTGTGTGAACGCATTGAACCAGAGGATGGCGCTCGTGTTCAGTGTTTGTTCTTTTGATCTTCAAACGAAGAAGAGAATGAACCAATCCGGTGGAGCCTGTTGAGAACATGTCCAGGCCTGTTCAACTTGTACACGTGCTGCTCTGGAACGAAGGTAACGTTACCTTACATTTATTTTCTAGTTTTATTAATGAGTATTTGTTCTTTTTAACAACATTAAGGAATAGCAGATAATTCCACGATGTTTATTTTAAGGTTTTCTTCCCTACGTGGTCTTACATAGCTGCGTTTGTTGCAAACGTGCTTGGGTTTTTCATGCCGGTTTGCCGAAATTTAGCAGTTTTAGTAAATATTTGTACCGAACAGCGTAAAACATACATATATATTAGTCATTAAACCTGTTTTCTTCTACTATAAAGGCAAGTGGTCAATTCGGCTCAAGTGTAGTTATGAAACTCATAAATGTTTTGTTTGTTTTTAAGAAATCGGCCTGTTCAGACAGATTCGGGTTTAATTTGAACTGGATTTTGTCTTGCTGGAAACTCAGGCTTAATAAAGATTTTTGTCCTTTGTTTGTAAGTTTCTTCAGTTTTATTTTCGTATTTTATTTATCATATAATTGGCACTGCATATAGTATACAGTAACATTAATATAAATGGATAACATTAAAACATCAAGCTTATTTTCATTGTGGTCCATTAGAAATCATTTGTGGTCCAGTCTAATTTAATTTGAACATTTTCTCAGTTCATTATCTTTATCCTGTACACAACAAAAAGGTGAACCGTTTGGGTGATATAAAGGCAGTAATTATCCTGTCTGACAGGATTTGTGTGCATATTATAATTAATTTCTTGTCTTTCAGGTATGACCACGATACAAGTGTCATTACTTAATGATGGCAGAGTTTTCACAAAATAATACTAAAGCCTCCTCACGGGGGCTCCTTGGCAACTACAGATATCTGTACAAGAAGTCGATGCAGATTTGTTCAATGGAGAATTCAAGAGTCTGGAAGAAACCACACCATAAGATGATTATCCCCAAAAGCAAGATGAAGAGAGTCCCAGATGAATCTCTGGATATAAATAAACTGATTAAAAAGGCTAAACTGAGTGACACACACCCGGACAGTCAAAGCCCTCTGACCTCTGAAGGTAAAAGTGTCGATGAAATGAGACCAGAACCCTCAACGTCCGAGCTTGAACACGATTGTTTAATATCCGCCCTCAGAGACTGCTGGGAGGTGGATAGTGGTTTCTCCTCTGAAACCAGCCCTCCAGTCAGCGGTCGCAGTTCGCCCTGGCTCGGCTCGTGTCCAACCTCAGTGGTGGCGTTGGACTGTGAGATGGTGGGAACGGGGCCTGGCGGGCGAATCAGCGAGCTGGCCCGCTGCAGCATCGTCGACTATCACGGCAACATCCTGTACGATAAATACGTCAAACCGTGTCAGCCCATCACCGACTTCAGAACTCGGTGGAGCGGCATCCAAAGGCAGCATCTCCAAAACGCCACATCCTTCACTCAGGCCAGAGAAGAGGTACGACCCAGGCCGTTTTCTGAAAATCTATTCCGATTTCTTCCTTCTCATCCGTTGTATGAATCATCATTGTGGGTATGAGGGGTACCAACAATTTTGTCCACGTGTATTTGTGTGAAAGTCTCAAGACAAACCACACTAAGATTTTTGTTTTCATGAAGCCAAATCTTGTAATGGTTCTAATTGTTGTTTTAATTATTCAAAGATTTTCATTAGAAGTATAGTGGGTATTTTTTGGTTTTATATAGACAATAAAGAAACTGTTCATTAGGGCTGCACAATATTCGGGAAACCTTCAAAGTATGATAGCAGTGCTTAATATTGCAATGATGATATAACTTGTGATGAATGAACAAATACTTAAGTCTTAAAGGGATCCCCGATTAATTGTAACATTAGACTTTATTTGATTAACATATATTTTAACTGTAAAATAAAGACTGTTTAGTTTTTATAATTTTAAACTAAAAGTTTAAAAATAAATCACACCGACGGGGCCATTTTATTTACATGCAAAGCATTGTGGGTAAATGTTGACGAGGGTAGGTCCTCGGTGCAAGGCTGCTAGCGAGCTATATCCACCCTGAAGGTTAATCTTGGACAATATCTGATGATCGACTCTTTTAAATGAAACCAGAGAGCGTTGACAGAGAGGCTGCCACGGTTTGTCGACTATTAAAATCGTCACTAGTCAATGCGTTGTTTTTTTCTAACTTTGTATATTTT